GATTACAATACCTTTTGCTATGCACACTTAAATCATTCTGTAACCCCAGCTTTTACAGTACCATTTGGCAGTGCGATTTTTGTTTTGGTCAGCCACGCAGAAAATGCTGTCTCCACTGTTACCAGTCGTTTTTGTATTGTGGTAACTCTGACAATCAAGTGTACTGTAGCTGGAAAGAGCTCACTCAGGCAGCACAGGCACATGACGGGCCTCTCTGTAATCAAAGGCACTTTCAACACACCATAAACAACACAGAGCCCAGAAAACGCAGATTATTTTACAAAATGAGATCGCAGAACGGCCAAGTAAAAGGCAGAAGTACCACCCATTTTAAAATAAAATAACGTAAACAAAATCCGGGTCTTGCCGAGTGTCATCACTTCCGTACAAACTCCTACGCACTGACTTCTCAGACTCTCTCATTCATCCCAGCCGGGTTGTCCGACTGAGAGCTTTCCCAGCTCTGGGGAAACCAGATTAGTGCCTGGAAGGTTGGGAGACAAACAGCAGGGATTGTGGGACAGCATCTCCTCGTCCCCATCGGTCTTCCGCTCTCCGGCCAGTGTCCGGGCCACAGTTCTCCCGCTCTGAGCTGAAGGGTCGAGACTTGCTGAACAATGGCCGCAGAGAAGGTCGTGACCTGAACTCCAGGCTGTATATTTTCCTAACCAGAATGCCGCCTGCTCCCGCGGCTCCGAGTGACACACCGCAGCACATGTCTCCAGCCCCAGCTTCCACAAGCAAGGAGCTGCGTACACAAACACATCCTAACTGCAGGGGGGCAGAGTGTTACTAAAACTGAAAACACTAACAAAGAGGCAAGCAGATTCTCACAGACCCCTCGAAGCCTTGGGTTACTGTGCTCTGGATACTTTTGCCCAAATGGTAGCTCTTTCTGTAGACTGAAACAGCGGTAAAGTCTTTGCTGGAGGTACTGGTTTGGCAGACTCAGATGCCAAACATTAACATGGCTGTTGTGTCCTGCGTTCCGACTGCGGAATACCAGCGTTTATAAAGGGACGTCGAGTTCATGCCGAGTTATTATTACCACTGTGATTGGAATAAAAATTCCAGTTCATTACACATCCGAGTCTGAGGAGTTTGGGGATTTCCCTTTCCAGGATGTCCGCTGGGGGGGATTTGGAATAAACACTTAGCCAGTTGTCGGGATGCTCCATGCTCCAGGAGTAAGCGGACCCCAAAAAAATCCTCCTAACCAATCCCAACCTAGTATGGACTGTGGAGGTTGGGAAGACAATCACCTCTTCAATTATTTTACCTATTGCTACTTCAATCATTTATTATAGAGTACTTTTCATGGCTTATATGTGAAGCAATTTTAAATATACATGTCAAAAAGGCATTAAAATTTTATTTAGGGCCTCATCTCATTCATAACCTTTCTTTTATTCTTGGTAAATCTTAAACTGCTGCCTTCAGTATCGGCATATAGACAGGCATGATCTTGCCTAGTGTCTAAAGACCCCTTTTCTATCGCTAGAAGATTTCAGACATCGACTGGTGATGTTGCTGTGCTGTCAGTCTGACAAGCACAGAGGCAGCCCGCAGCAGAATGCTGGACGGGAAAACAAACACTGAATCTTCGGCCTTGGAAAGACAACTTGAGACCAAAACACACTGGCCTGGAGTACGTCCCAAACCTAGCATGTAGTGAAATGGAAAGGTCTGACCAGCACACGAGCTGTCAGGGAGTACGGAGTACTGAGAATATTCTTGTAGGAGCAGGGAGAGATTTTTCAGCCAAGGTAGCAGTGGGTAGCAACACTCTTCAGACCACATCTCCCAGATTACAGGCCACCCCCTGGAGTTTAACAGGCCATGAGCCTTCAATTGTAACTCACAAATATCGAGCTTGCGAGAAATGTGGAACACTGCCTTTCTAGGGTTTAAAAAACTTCTGCTTGTGGGAAACAAACTACGCTTATTTTCAAGAGCTGCGAGCCAGGAGCTGCATCAGCGTGCGCTGGCTTCTGGGGAACAAGTAAAAGTTGCATTCCTTTTGTCCAACGTTTCAGCTGTTGAGTTTATTTTACGTCCGAAAAAAGTATGCAAAACTATTACTAGCGATGGCTCAACCGCCAAATCATTGTGTTATGTCTTTCTTTGTACTCTACAGCGTGGATCTAACCTTCGCTTATTTATTTTGAAGGACTCGTTGATGGATGACGACCGGTCTGGCCTCACAGGCTCTTGATTTCAAGAAGGTGCCCAGCCAGGTCAAAGGTCCGACCGGGCACGTGCCCGCCTGGGCCACAGCTCGGACCCCCTACTCACCGCTGGTCGAGGGCTGGCCGCGTGCAGCCGCCAGCAGCAGGACAACCACCAGGGAGCCCGTCCTCAGCAGCGCCATTCTCCTCCAGTCCGACGGAATCGCGTCTGTCATCATCCGGCACAAATGGCGGAGGAGTGCTCTTCCATAAACCAACCACTGGGGGGCGCTCACTGCCGGGGGGGGAGAGACCGAGGGAGGAGAGGTTAGCGTGGAAGAGAAGGCGTCTCCTCGTAGCCAACCACAGACTGACTGATAGTACTGACAGAGAGGACAACGTCTTTCAACCCTAAGAACCTGTCGGCGACCTTGGTTCACTTTAAACGGGAGACCACACGAGCAAACAGCCCCCTACAAGTCCCATAAAGACCCAGCTAGCACCGAGAGGACTGTGCCGGCCTCCTGCTTTATGGGAACAAGGGAACAAGAGAAAAATCCCACGAGCCTCCCTTCCTCCGGAAAGCACATACATGAAAGAAATGGCTGAAAGCTTTTATCTGGAGAGCAAAAATGCAGCCAAGGGCGCTACCCCTATGCATGGGGAGTCTTTTCACGGCTGTGCCTCTGAGGGGCCTCAGTCCCAGGGCTGCACCTGCATGAGGTAACTGACCCCCCCCCTCCCCAAGACCAGCCAGCGTGAAAGCCCCCCACCCCCCGGCCCCTCTCGGGCACCGCGCAGATGTAACCGATACAGGTAGAGCAGGGCAGCCCGGCGGCGGGGTCACTGCTTTCAGGTAGGCTGGGCGACGGAGGGAACAGAGCCTGCATTCTCCCCCCCTCTGGCTCCCGGCCTCTCGCATTCCTCGCGCCCCGACAGGCCGAAGCCTGAGCCCGACACCCGAGAGGCCGGCTCCGAGAGGAAATGGAGAATTGGAACAGAATCCGGCAAGAACCGTGGCCACCCCCCCCCCTCCCTCCCCCGATTTCAAATTAAGTACATTCCGCAGAGAAGTCTCTCGCCAAGTCAGGAACACAAAAGGGCCTGAAGGAGTGCAGACGCTGTCACGCATGTCACACTTCTCCTGGAAGTCAGGAACGGGATGATCCCGAGCTGCTCCGAAACCCAAAGGGCCGGCGCACCGAACGACCACACTGCTTCCGAGTCGGAGCACCTCGCTGACCAGCACAGCAGCTGCAGCTGCTATTCTAGAACTCCGAAAGTTATTTTTGTTTTTATCCTCCGCAGGAGAACGGAGCCCGTGAGGTAGACAGGGGCCTTTGTTGCAGTAGGTCATCTGCGCTGGGCCGCCCCCAGGCTGCCGAGCCCCGGGAGCCGCGGACACCCGGCGTTCCAGAGCAGCGGAGACGCTGCCAGTGGGGGGCTGCGGGTGCCGCCGTCGGTGCCCTTCCCTGAACCGGGGGCTTTTTCCTGGACGCACAGCAGTCAGTCTATTAACAGTTAATGCAGGAAAAGCAGCTCTCTGCCAAGTTTTCCGAATTCTTTCCTGTCAGGTTAAACTAACAACTTCCTGTCAGGATAAGGAGGGTGGTCTGCGGGTCCCACACTGCCAGCAAATCAAGATTTGCTTCAACCTCCTCCCAGGCTCCCCCTCCTTCCTGACATTCGCGCAGGATAATTAATAAGGGTGGTACGAGACTCGGGGCCATCAGAGGTCCCAACCAATTCAAACACGGGCAAGCCTTTCACTGTTTATTCAGCGCAGAAAACGGTCTTTTTGCAAACAGAAGCTACACTGTGTGTGTAGATCATGACTACCTCATCAGCTCCCACCTGCAAATACCAACTGCGCCAGGAAAAAGGGGAATGGAAAAGCCACGCGGCACAGCACTACAGAAAAAGAGCAGGGGCTCACCTAGTCCACCAACATCGCCAAAAGACACGTTCTCCAACTTAAGGAGCCGAGATGACACCTCGATGTGGGAGCCCGCCAGACTAACCTCCAGCCAGGCGGGTTGTTCTGGCCTACTAATGGCCTATTAAGAGATTGCTTGAAACAATGGAAGCAAGTATCATAACTCTGCAGAGAGCAGAAACCTTAACATAGGAGACATAAGTGAGAAATAATCACAGGGGAGAAATAAGTGGGAAGAAAAGACTCCAATCATAAAGCATCCTTAGATGAGGCTGACTAATCTGTTTTGGGATCATGTTAAATGGCTCTTCCACTGCCATTGTCATAGGGGGTGAGGCCTGCGTGTTCTTCACACAGCTGAGAAGAGACCAGGAAGGTTCCGCACTTTGACCTTTGACCCCGGCTTTTACTACCATTGTAGCACCTGTTGCAGCAAAGAAGAGCAGAGAAGAGTCTTCTTCCAGCGGGTCAACACACGGTAACAAGCCACTGTGCTCTGTTCTATCAGGAATCAATCTGATTCTAACAAACACAATGACACTTTTCCCCAAGATTACTTGAAAGGATACTGGTAGAAGATCTTTAAAAGGGGGCGGAAAACACAAAAAACACTTTCTTTCTTTGGGAGAAACGAAATTTCTTTCAAATGCTCTCAGAAACACATATTATTCAGAATCCTGCTGGTTTTCATCAGGGGGAGAGGGTAGGACTTAAAAACCACACACATCTACAAGGAGAAAGAAAAAAGAGCTCATGTCATGATGTGATCATTGTGAACATCTGCCCTTTATAAAATCTCATGAAACCCAGCCTCCAGCGAGGGCTCTGCTGCAGGCGTGTCTGTGACTCCCCGTTTCCAGTTCCTGTCCAGGTGGGGACTGGAGGAGGTAGCAGGCAGGACTGCCCCGGACAGGATACGAGCTCCGTTTCTGGCAGACAACGGACAAACTGGTTTTGCTCAAATTTGCTCCACCTGGCCAAGTAAAACCCCTGGAACATGAAAACAAGCACTCTAGACCTGCTGGTCCTACAGAGCCAGCGAACCTGCAGACGCCTTGATCACTGCGCAGGGCCTGATGCAGATGCTGGCGTGAAAGGCTGACTATTGGCACTACTGCAGAAGACAAAAGTGGAAATTGCACTGTGGGATATGTGCATTCAGTCACACTGAGGTCATGATGAAATCCTTAAACTTAAAACACTGCATGGGAAGCTCCTGCACAGAAAACTACATACTTGAGTGTATTTTTGGTAGTTCTACTTCTAGGAAGTATTTGGCAGATAACCTGAGTCCGTTATTATCGTTATCAGTCGGATTCTCATCCCCACATCGTTCCCCCAAAACTCAATTCAGTTTATGCGTCTTGAGCTAAATGTGTTAACTACTGGGTTGACAAGAGAAGCAAGTGCTTTCCTGGACCACGAATTTCAAGAACAGTCTGAGGCCATCTAGGATCTGAAGCCAACAGTTTCAAACCTTTTGCTACAATCTGGACTTCATGCACGTCTTAAAACAGACCGAGACAGAAACAGACGCACTGAAGCACTGAATAATACTGCAATTCAAGACAGGCACACACAACCAGCATATTAAATACACATTCTGGGTTTTATTCTTCCGGATGCATCAGCTCTGTGCTCCGTGTTCACTGGGTAATCCAAGCCCAACAATACAGTCTGCCAACTACTCTGGAGAACCGTATAAACAGCTAATCGACAAGCCAGCAGCAGAGTGATCAGCACATAGCCTGTACTGCAAGGCTGGGACTGGTCAGCACTGGGATGGGAGTACTCAAAAGAAAAACAAGACACGCCGTTTTAACAAGTGTTGTTTGGACCAGTAGGTGGCGCTCTTCCAGGATGTCCAAACCAACACCGCGGTATGAGGCCAGGGACACTCTGCCATAGGAAGCACTGTGCTACAGACGAGATGTTAATCCAAGGACCCGACTCCTTGGTCATTAAAGATGCCCTGGCACTGTTGTGCCATTAACTCCGATTCCACTCTGCGCCTCAACAATCTGGCCTCCCTCTTCATTCAGCTGGCGAAGCACTTCCCCACTGCTCTGCTGATCTGCGGTGTGGCACACTCACGGAGAGAGCCTGGCTGATATAGGGGGCTCCCTCCTGTATGTTAAGCGCTTTGAGATCCTTTGGGAGGGACAGAGCAGGGCACATGCAAGCAGCCTGTACACAGCTACAATATGAATTGATACAGAAGATGCATTCGAGCTTGCACCAATACATCCACTGCAGCAGCTGTCACTGAACCACAACCCTTCCCGTTTCGAGGATCATGACAAACGCGGGGGCAGACATGAACTCAGGTAGCTGCTGCCGGTCAGAGGGGTTTCGACACCGGCCCCCCCCACCAGAATCTCACCGCTCTCCCGCGAGGGGACAGAAAGCAGAGAGAAAGGAAGGAAAAGAAAGCGAGGGGGAGATGAAAGAGCGAGCTAATCTGGGCAGCGGAGTGGCCTTGACCAGGGGAGCCCACAAACCGGCGCCGACCTGCGGAGAGGCGACGGCGGCGAGTCGTGTCCTTTGTGTGGCAGTGCCGCGCTCCCCCAGCAGGTTACACTCCGCATTGTTCCGGGCTCCGGCCGGATAAATTCATTTTGACAACCCTGGTAATTGGATAAATACGACCGCTCTCCCCATGGAAATTGTTTTTTTGTCATTTAACATTCCATCTGCTTTGGGCGAGGGAGGGCACCAGGGAGCTTGGGGGATGGGGGGTTTTTATCTGCTGAATATTCATGGGGAGGCACCCCTCCCCCCTTCCCCCTACAAACCCCCAATCCGCACCCCCTACTCTTTCCCTTTTACACTCATTACACAGACACACACCCCCTCCACGCACACACCGGCCCCCCTCTCTCTAGATAAACAGAGCCGGTGTCAAGTGTGAGGAGTGCGGAGTTCAACTGCCAGCGAAGGCCCGGGGCCTACAATAACCAGCTGCATAGCTTTCATACAGGAGCCCGGTTGCCCCTGGCGACACTAACAGGCAGAACGCAGCTTAATAGAGTCGATATTCATTGTAATGCAGTGAGCCGGTGGAGGGACAATTACCCCAGGGGGTTGTTTTTTTTAAAAGAGAGCAGTTTTTCTGAAGAGCCAGCATAAGAGTTGATGGGTGCGGCTCAATAGCAAAGGAGGAGGGTGGTGTGCGAGTGTGTGTGTGTGTGTCGGGGGGGGTAAAGTTCGGCAAACCACCATACATCCTTAAAAAGGGCTCAAGTCCTGGAGGCGGAAGGCCTACCCACAGCGCTGAGCGAAGGGAGTTTGTGAAACCAGGTTTGATTGGTCAAGGCTCCCCAGAGAAGGATCAGGTGTGGTTGAGAGCTCTGCTCCGTGGCGACTGCTGCAAAGCCCCGACCGGTACAGAACGGGACGTCTCCAGCCAGGCCACACCTTCGGCTGCGTTCCACACGATGGCGGCCATTTTCTACGATGCGAGAACTTCGCCTTCCCTCTCCGCTGTCTAGGTCTTTAAAAGAGGGGTTTTTTAAAAAAAAAACACACACACACACACACACAAGCCCCCCAAAAACAGCCGTAAAAATGAAACAGACGGCAGCTCCCATTGCTGTTAAAACCTGCGCAGAAAACCATTCACGTCAAGTAAGCCAAAGCCACATGCTGGGGCTCGGGAAGATTTTGACGGCTCTTCCCATCGGGTCAGCCTTCCTGCACGCAGGCCGAGGCTCCGCCCCCCCAGGCCGCCGCTCTCGGGGTTCTTATCCGCACGTCGGGACCTAGGCCACAAACCCAAGAGCAAGTGCCACGCCCTGTACCCCGAGACACCCCCCCCGCCCCGGTCCGGGCCATACCAGCACCCTTTGGGTTTGGCCGGGCCTGGGTTCGACAGTCCGCCATTGTTCAACCTGTGCGCCAACACCTTTCACCTCCATCCTCTATGACAGCACAAAGCAGACCGAACACCAGTGCCTGGAAACGCACTGCATGGGTGTACGAGGCAATAAGGGACCGACAGAGAGCAGTGATGGGACCTTCCATGTCAAGCCCCATGCCACAGGACTTCCACTGCGAGACTGGGGAGCAGACGCTCGAGTGGCGCTCCTCTACATTAGCACACCATGGGGCCAGGCCTAATGACACAGTGCTAATTTTGCTCTTGCTCTAAGTGTAGGTACTTTACTAAATGAAACGCTGCAAGCCGTCAGTCATCCTGTATGTATACTGTGAATCATATAATTTCACGGGCTGTTGGACCAGCTGAAAGTCCCAAAAACAAGAGGCCAAAAAAAACACGAGAACAAAACAGAAGAGAAAAAATGCAAAGCTGAGAATAGGGACGGGACAGTTTCAACAATCCCAAAGTGTGTGTGTGTGTGTGTGTGTGTGTGTGTGTGCTGAACTTGATTTTTTCCGCACACTCACTGTTTATTTCCCTTCCCCCGTAATTTGCGGCAGAACCTCCAGAGCTCGGAGACGGAGCGCGCTCGCGCTGAGCACTCTGGCCCCCCGACGCTGGTCTGCGCTTGCCGCCGACTGCGAACGCGCGCTTCGCAAAAGGAGGTGCTTCTCCACCTGGTTTTCGGAACCGGATGGGCTCCAGAGCGGCTCGCTGTTCTTGGGGCCGCGGCGGCGCTGGCCCACCTCCCTGCGAGGCCCACCGCCTGCTGGGCGCCCGTGTCCCTCCCGCACAGAGGTTCCCCGAGACCCGGAGCCGCAGCTTCTGAATGACCATATTTCTCACTCTTTACAAAACCTGACCCCCGTCTTAAACCCTGGTAAGAGTGCAGCACCAGGAAGTGAAAGCATGGCCTGACACCCTGGCACAGAACCGCAGATTCCCCGTGATGGCCTGGGAGTAACAGGCTGCTCACTCTGGGGAAATTCCCCAGGGAATCTTCCACAAGGAGAGCTAAACTACCCCCGCACAAAGAACCGCAGAGCTCGGAGGCGGACTTCTCGAAGCTACTGGCAAATATCTATGCTGTGGGAACAAATCATGTGTCCTCAGAGCTCTAAAGCCCATAACCACTCTAGCGCGCACCTGTGTCATGTTAACATGTAACCCATTCCTCACTAATGCCTCGGAAGTCTTTCCACTGTTTTTTTTTCCGCTCAAAACGGGCAATTAGGGGGGAATGAACTGCAACGACAGCAGAAAAGAGCTCAGTCAGTACGAACACCATAACGCTGCATCAAAACTGCCCGATGGGGCTTACAGGTTCACTTTTTGTACACCGAGAATTTCAATCAGTGCGTTCCAAAAACACCTGGCATCGGTTTAATAAGCGAGGAATGAGGGCATTAAAAAGGATTCCACAGGACAGTTTACATGTGACTTCAAGAAGGGGACAAATATTATACTGCTTCCATTTCTCAGACAATATCGCTGCTGGTAAAAGCCTCTGTTCTAAACAGGATATTGACAGACAGACATCTCATCTGGAATTAATCCCAAACACTACAGCGAGTTTTCTGAGCACAAAGGGTCCAATTCTTTTCAGAAAACAACACCCAAGCCTCAAGTCAGAGAATTTGTTTTTAAAAATTCTTTGAACTGTTGAAAAATAAGCTGACAGAAAACACAGGAGAATATGGCCTAATTATCCAGACACCATTCAAATAAAGTTATGCTCCAAAATACAGCAGTATTGCCAAAACCATCCCTCCTGATAATTAGTCACACCAACAGCTCCTTCTGAAAATGTTGCATTATGACAGATCTACCATGGGCACATATCTAGCAACTGGGTAGTCTAATTTATTTGGCTGATGGTTTCATCCAAGATGACTTACATTAATGCCCACACATACTGGGCATTAAGCTAAAGCACCATGCCCAAGGCTACAGTGGCTCATTTGGGATGTGAACCCACAACCTTCCAGTTACAAGTCCGCAACCCTATCCACTACTTCACACTGCTTCTCTCCCAAACGAGAAGAAAACGACTGACTAAAGAAAACAGCTCCCTTTCCCTGTCCGCACCGAGCGTGTGTGATCGAGTTACAAGGCCAGAGCACGGAGCACAGCACAAGCCCAGCGAGGGACACAGACCTGGGAAGAGGCCAGCACACATCAGACAAGCACTCCATGGTGAAGGAGAGGGCAGGGAAGAGCCCACAATGGCACCTTTGTCACACTCCTTTCGAAGGGAAGAGCTCAGCTTTCTTTTCTTTAATCCCAGTTTATACAGGGAAGTGTGGACATGCAACCGTGAGCCGGGGGAGGGGGCAGGAGGGGGATTTGCTCTGAAGGAATTTCTTTCCTCTTTTCACGGGGGGTAATTTCACACAGACATTCCCGGCCTGGAGCCCAGGAGCCCTCCCGGAATCACACATCGCAGCCATGCTGACCAGCCCAGAGCCCCGTCAGGCAGCGAGCGCCACAGTTCTCCCGTCCCTGCACAGCTGAGACAGACTGAGACAGACAAGCCCATGAACAAAACAAAATGAGCAGGAACTCGTGCACCAATTAAAAACAAAACCTTGTATTGATCCCAGTTTATTATGGCAAGATGTGACTCTTGTAAAGAGTCTCTTCAGTCTTTTGAAGAGTTAGTAACAGTAAAGATAATAATAACTCAATGACTATATGTAACAGCTTTTATCCCAAAGGATCCCAACGGGTTCCACATGCTGCAGATGCCCCACTTCGTCCACCACTGACAAGCAGCTCCCACTTGGGTTTCTGGGTGAAGCTGTTCTACACCTGCAGCCCCACTATACAGGTGCAGGAAGGAGAAATTCCTTCACCAACTCAATGAAGGCCGAACATTTGAGAGTACAGATTGTGTGAATTTAGTCAGGACACCGTGTTCGCACCCCAGCTCTTAAGAGTAGGGCCCTGGGATCTCTCACGCCCAAGTAATCAGTATCCCACTTTATTATCACATCCGAAGGGAGGCACAGTGTGGCGTCTCCAGTCGCCATACCAGGGGCATGGGATCAGACACTCTTGTCCCCGGTGGGGAAAAAATGACTTCAGTGCGGGCGGTTCCGAAACGCTTCCAAATCTCTCCTTGATCAGCATTTGGCGAGGACCACCCGACTAAGATCCAAGTTGGCCGGATATCGTGCAAAAATTGGTCCAACGATCCAGATTTCATGCCAGTCAAGGGGCCCTCTCTGGCGGAAAATTAGAAAGACGTCAAGGCCCAGCTAACAAGCTGGCTCCCCGCGCCACCAGGGCTGACGCACAGCAAGCACTGCTCCAGCCAGCGGGCTTCTGCCAACCCACCAACCGCCATCGCAGGCATCTGCATCATTCCTGGAACTAAGCAGAAGGAGCAACTGCGTGTTCATGAATCCCTTAAGTGTGTGAAAACTGTTTACAAAAGGTCTGTGCGAGCCGCAAGAGACGCTCAGCTTCTAGAAAGGCCGCCACTTGACGATTTCATCCACACGGGTCCACGTCCGAGAAGGGACGTCACCAGGCTGTCTGGAGGAGCACTCGAGCCCCACGTGCCCGACTCAAGGATGCCACTGCTTCAACCCACCCGGGATTCGATCCCACAACCCTTCAGCACCCTTACCGCTGTGCCACACTGCTGCCGTGTTGGTTAGTGCACAGATCCATATCGTTCCCGGTCGGACTGACAGACCCCCACACAGGACAGGAGCCAGGCACGCCGCACTGGGCAGGATTCAGCTCTTGCGCAGTGCCACATCCTCAGAAACTGCCGTGACTTTGAAGTGACAGAAATACTCTTGAAACTGGCTGCGCAGTCCTCTGTATCCGGGCAGAATCAAAAAGGAGCTGGAGAGCCAGATTGAAACAATCTCTGCAACCAAGAAAAGCAAGCGGTTCCAAATTCATCTCCTTAAACCCTTTGTTTTGTTTTTTTTATCCAAGACCTTTAATGATTCAAATATATGGTGCAAATGACTTCATAAAAGTAGTTATTTGCATGTAGTACTCAGAAATGCTCACTCTTTAATTACCTTAAGAAAACTTTGCTCCTGCTGTAAACACTAGCTAGACTAATCTATACCTCCAAGATTGAGAGCCAACAGCAGACTCCGTAATCTGCACTTCAGCTTCCAGGGACTACTCAACTGCTATTCTAAATTCTATGCGATGCCCACAAAGGATTGCATTTCATTTGCCTAATAATATTATTCATTATTTATGGATATAAACTGTGCTGTTCATCCCAAAGCACTTCACACACAGGAAGGGGTACCCTTTATCCAACAATGGGCTGCCCCTGACTAGGAGACACATTCTGCACCAGCAGCCCCACCTGGGAGACACACAGTGATCATTCTGCACCAGCAGCCCCACCTGGGAGACACACAG